TCCAACATTAGTACCAAAACGGTTATGAATCAGTTTTTAGTCAAATTTAAATTTGGCTTGGTTATTTGAGGTGCGGTTTCAGAAAATTGCACTAGCTAGACCACATCACCTCTTGTTTCTGATACAGAATATATGCCATCCAGTAGCTACCATCTACTCGTCCACAGAAAACCATATTTAATAAGCCTTGGCATTATAAGATGGTTTTACAAGACCAGTCACTCTCGTTGCAACAGTGTAGTAACGGTGAGGCTGTTAAAAATATTTTAGTTCTTGTGGACCACTGGTGGTCCATGGATCACAGGTCGGGAACCATTGATCTAAACTCGTTATCAACAATCTAAACTTTTTAAAACATTGACTTTGCCGAAAAGTACTCAATAGACACTATCTTGAACTAGCCAGTGTCATTAAGCTGAAAGATGTACCTCACTATATATGAGGTATGGACAAACTTGGGTCCTCCAGGTGTTTTTGGACTTCAGCTCCCACAATTCCTAACATTCTAGCCATTAGGAATTGTGGGAGTTGAAGTCTAAAATATCTGGAGGACCCAAGTTTTCCCTTGCTTGGTATATACCATACTGACATTTGTGATCCTGTTTGGTGCCAAACCAAAGGACTAATTCACTGCCTCCCCCACCCCCACCTCCTTATTCTCTGGGTCATTATGGAAAGACAATAGTGATGCTTCACTTTTTCTAGGACAATGCCTTTGGCATGAGAAGCTTCCCCAAAAGGGTTGGCCTTAAGAGCAGTTCCCAGGTGGGCCTTCTTGTGCTGTTTTTCATGCGATTTCTGTCCCAGTAATGAATACGTAGCTTCCTGGATGTACAAAGCCCAGAGCACTTGCTTGAAAGGAGAGAACCAAAAGAGGGAGCCTTTGAGACATCAAGTTTCTATTTGAAAAATAATATAATTTGGCTAGCATTGCTCTTGGTTCCAAAGCCTTATAAAAGCATTTCTGACTTGGGCAATACTTCAGCTTTTATTTATATTTCTACAATACTTTTGAATGTGCTATGATGGCAATTTACCAGGAATATTAAAAATTAAAAATCCCACAGTAAAATTAATAATAAAAATTGTCAGCAGAAAGAGAATCAAGCAGTAAAGGCTTGGAAATAATTTTTTAAAAGACAAGTTTCCACTCAGAGCCCTAATAATGAATCATGACAAGATTTTAGTTCAATTGCCAGTCCCAGCTAAATCAAATTAACTGTAAATGTTGCTGTTTCACACAATCTCAGACCCCTTCCACACAGCTGTATAAAATCCACATTGAACTGGATTATGTGATGGTATGGACTCAGGTAATCCAGTTCAAAGCAGATTATTGTGATTATCTGCTGTGATATTCTGGGTTATATGGCTGTGTGGAAGGGTCTTTAGTTAGTTGGTGGCAGCAACTGGGTTTAGGCCCTAATGCTATTGTGACATTATTGTTAGAAAGTGGCCATAAAGTCTATGAGTGACAAAGGTACCGTATGTTAAAGAAAAAATATCTGCTTAGTTATAGAAAAACGTTATAAGTTCCTACTGACTTCAGGTTACGTTGAACATGTGCAACACATTCTGAGCCATGTTTGACATGTTCTACTGATTAGTTAACATGGAAGAGGATAAAGGGAACAAGTCATTTGGAAAGAGTGCTTGCTCTTTACTGGTGAGCCTTTGTGACTCCCATAGGCTATTTATTAACCAATTACTGCAACCCTTACGTTTTTATAACAATAATTGGCTTAATTTCTTGTTTAGAGTACAACACCAGATTTCAAATCCAGAGTCTACTCAACATTGTGCCATTCAGTATATTACTATCATGAACTCTCCCATACTATCGTCCCCTTTTACATTTGGCCCATGTCCAAGGGCAGAAAACTATTCTTTGTTCTTTTGCTTGTCATCATCATCAGCGATCATTCATGTCCAAGTTGGATGGCCTTCCAAGCATAAGATCTTGTAGATGGGTCTGTAGGAGACTGTGGAGACCTATTCTTGACCTGCCTGTTCTTCCACAGTGAGGACATTGGTTTCTGGATGGAAGGTGGTCCCAGTCAGGGTTGGCTTGATATGCCTTCCCCTTGATGCATTTCTCTCTTTCACCCTCCATTTGTGCCTCTTCGAATTCCACAGCATTGTTGGTAACAGCTGATCTCCAGTTAGAATGCTGAAGAATCAGGGCTTTCCAGTTCTTGGTGTCTGTGCCACAATTTTTATGGTTGGCTTTAAGCTCATCTTTAAATCACTTTTCCTGTCCAACAACCTTCTGTTTTCCATTCTTGAGTTGGGAACAGAGTAACTGCTTTAGGAGACAGTGATCAGGCATTCAGACAACATGGCCAGTCCAGCGAAGTTGATGGCAAAGGATCATCACTTCAGTACTGGTAGTCTTTGCTTCTTCCAGCATGCTGGCATTTGTCAGCTTGTCTTCCCAAGAGATTTGCAGAATTTTTCAGAGGCAGTGCTGATAGAATCGTTCCAGGAGTCGAGTGTGATGCTTGTAGACAGTCCACATTTCGCAAGCATATTGATGTGGAGATATTGGAATATATATATATATATATATATATATATATATATATATATATATATACATACATACACACACACACACACACACACACACACATTACAAGCACTGAAATATAGAAAAATCAGGTTCTCTTTGTATTAGGAAGCCAAACTGACAGGCCAGAAAGAATGCTGTTGAAAGGGGGAGGAGAAGCGAGGCATGTTGTCTACACAGAGACTGGTACAGCATAGCACAGGCCATACCTTCTTACTTCATAAAGTAAGGAGTTTATCTCCCTCCCTCCTGACAGCTCAAAAGTAGGCCCCTGATGGATGTAAGCTGCTCTTTAGGAAAAAAAATACTGAGACATGCCTCTCGCATGTTGGAAGATATAATTTGATATTTCTATGATACTAAAGTGAAGTAGCGATGATGTTAACGTATGTAGAAGCATGTTTGTTTGCCTGCATTTGCCTGCATTATTCTCACTCTGGTTTGCTTTTTGGAAAAGACTCCATGCCAGTGTCTCAGCTGAAAATAAACATACTTTTCTGCCTCCAAACAAAGGATCACTCTTGGTTTTATCTTTCCTATCAGTCATAACAATATAACAGGGTTGGGAAGACAATAGCTTTTATAAACAATCACCTTGGCATACCTACAGATGTCCCGATCCCCAAACACTCTCTGCTTCATTTGGAAGAATGCTGCACTTGCAGAGCTCAGACGGTGCTGTATTTCAGTGTTGATGCTGATTTTTTGGCTTCTGAAGAGTGATTCTCAAGCACTGGTGCTCTAGGGCTTTGGGGCCTCAACTCCCAGAAGCCTCAGATGATGAGAGGTTATGAGAACTGGAAGTCCGAAAGACCTGGAAGATTTGAGTTTTGGAAGCAGTCGTGTAGAGTGATGGAACACGCTGGCATTTGTCAGCCTGTCTTCTCAAGAGATTGGCAGGATTTTTCAGATGCAACGTTGATAGAATCGTTCCAGGAGTTGAGTGTGACACCTATAGACAGTCCACGTTTTGCAAGCATAAAGTGGGATTGAGAGGACAATAGCGTTTATAAACAATCACCTTGGTATCCCTACAGATGCCCTGATCCTCAAACACTCTTTGCTTCGTTCAGAAGTATGCTGCACTTGCAGAGCTCAGACGGCAATGTATTTCAGTGCAGATGTTGATTTTGCTTGTAAAACACCATGCAGAACAGTGATTCTCAAGCACTGGCGCTCCAGGGCTTTTGGACCTCAGCTCCCGGGCTTTGGGACCTCAGTTCCCAGAAGCCTCAGATGATGAAAGGTTATGAAAACTTGAAGTCCGAAAGACCTGGAAGACTTGAGTTTTGGAAGCAGTTATGTAGAGTGATGGAATATGCTGACATTTGTCAGCCTGCTCTTTAGAAAAAAATTGTCAGCCTGTCTTCCCATGAGATTTGCAGGATTTTTCAGATGCAACGCTGATAGAATCGTTCCAGGGGTTGAGTGTGACACCTATAGACAGTCCACGTTTTGCAAGCATAAAGCCGAGTTGGGAGGACAATAGCGTTTATAAACAATCACCTTGGTGTCCCTACAGATGCCCTGATCCTCAAACACTCGTTGCTTCGTTCAGAAGTATGCTGCACTTGCAGAGCTCAGACGGCCCTGTATTTCAGTGCAGATGTTGATTTTGCTTGTAAAACACCATACAGAACAGTGATTCTCAAGCACTGGTGCTCTTCGGGTTTTGGACCCCAAGTCCCAGAAGCCTCAGATGATGAGAGGTTATGAGAACTGGAAGTCCGAAAGACCTGGAAGACTTGAATTTGGGAAGCAGTTATGTAGAGTGATGGAACTATAACAATAAATGATTCTGGATGGTGACTTTTTTTTTTTTTGTCGTGTCAGGAGCGACTTGAGAGACTGCAAGTTGCTTCTGGTGTGAGAGAATTGGCCGTCTGCAAGGATGTTGCCCAGGGGATGCCTGGATGATTTGATGTTTTTCTCACACAATAATACCAATTGAGCCAGGCAATTAAAGTGGTATCAAACTGTATTCAATCAGGCCTGGGCAAACTTGGGCCCTCCAGGTGTTTGGACTTCAACTCCCACCATTCCTGGCAGCCTCAGGACCTTTCCTGTCCCCCCTCAGCCGCTGAGCGGCTGAGGGGGGACAGGAAAGGTCCTGAGGCTGCCAGGAATGGTGGGAGTTGAAGTCCAAACACCTGGAAAGCCCAAGTTTGCCCAGGCCTGCAGTGAAGGAAACTAGCGAGGACCCCGTGAAAGGCGGCTAACTCGCGCCTGATCCGTCGAGAGTCAAAATTATTGCGTTGAAACAATAAGGCAAGACATCTCAGTGGTGATTAACAACCTTTGTATAGTCAATATAGTAGCAGCTTACCCGCAACTGAAATGGGCCAGGCTTAAGGACTACAGTTCCCACAATGCATCGGCCTGCCCGTTTCCTGTCATGAGAATTCGGATCAGGCGTTCGAGTTAGGCAGAAGGGGTGGGGTCCTCGAAGCGACAGCTCCCTGCCGCGGTGGGTTGTGGGCCGTCCCTTCCTCCTTTCTTCCTTTCCTCGGCGTGAGAGTGGCACGATGGGTGAGTGGCTCCGAGTCTGGCGGCGGAAAAGGGCTCAAATGGGTCGGGGAGAGAGGCCGAAGCCTGTAGCGTGAGAGAAGGATGGTCTCTGCCTTTCCTCGCTTCTCTTCGCGCTGTCTTTCCTGCTTTTTCCTTCAGAGACGGGCCACGCGGCCTGCCCCGCAAAAGAAGGCCTTGGCGGCCTATGGAGCCCAGAAGGAGAGGCGAATGAAGGCTGCTGATTGGTTGACTTCTTGGATGTCCTGCCTCCCTCCCAATATTAGGAATCCAATACATTTTTTTAAAATCCAATTAAATGCAAAAGTCAACATAAAAAATATGTTTAAACAGAGGCTGGATGGCCATTTGTCAGGGGTGATTTGAATGCAATATTCCTGGTTTTTGTCAGGGGGTTGGACTGGATGGCCCATGAGGTCTCTTCCACCTCTTTGAGTCTATGATTCTAATAATAATGATAATAATAATCTTTATTTAATACCCCGCCACCATCTCCCCAATGGGGACTCGGGGCGGCTTATTTATTTATTTATTTACTTTGCTTGTATACCGCAGTTTCTCAGCCCGTAGGCGACTAAACGCGGTTCACAACAAGAGCAAAAGTCAATCGAACAACATACAATATTTAAAACCATTAACAGCATAATATACAAAATAATGACACATCAATAACAACACATCAACGTCTCGTAACTCAAATCATGTTCCAATTCGTCATCCATAATTCCGTTTCCTATATTCATCGTTCATTGCACTATTTATCCGAACGCCTGTTCAAACAGCCAGGTTTTTAGTTTTCTTCGAAACACCATTAACGAAGGGGCTGATCTAATGTCCATGGGAAGGGCGTTCCACAGCCGAGGGGCCACCACAGAGAAGGCCCTGTCCCTCGTCCCCACCAGCCGTGCTTGTGATGCAGGCGGGATCGAGAGCAGGGCCTCCCCAGAAGATCTTAGAGTCCTGGTGGGTTCATAGGCAGAGATACGTTCGGATAGGTAGCTTGGGCCAGAACCGTTTAGGGCTTTATAGGCCAACGCCAGCCCTTTGAATTGAGCCCGGTAGCAAATCAGCAGCCAGTGGAGCTGGTGCAGCAAAGGAGTTGTATGCTCCCTGCACTCCGCTCCTGTTAGTAACATGGCTGCCGAGCGTTGGACTAGTTGGAGCTTCCGAGCCGTCTTCAAAGGCAACCCAACGTAGAGAGCGTTGCAGTAGTCTAAACGGGATATTACAATAAAGTAAACCAAAACACAATAACAATACAGTAAAATACATACAGCATATGAGTACAAAGATGATAAAGCAAAATCATACACAGTAAAATAACATAACAATGAGCGGGCCGCATGTGCAAGATGAAAACTAAGATACTAAAAATACTAAAATCAGAATGAGATAGGGATGGGGTATATTGTGGGGGAGAAACTTGTAAAGGAACGGGGTCAATTTAAGGCTTAAAAACCTTAATTTTGGAAAGAGATCCATGAAATAATAAACAAGATACTGGACACGAGAAAAGAGATGAAAGCCGAATATTACCTATTGGGGATATTAGACTTTGAGCTTGAAAAGAATCAAGATAAGCTTTTCTTCCACATGGCAACGGCAGCGAGAATTGTTTTCGCAAGAAAATGGAAGAATAAAGAGATGCCAACGATGGAAAAATGGATGCTCAAACTCTTAGACATAATGAACATGGACACCCTATCACAATACATGAAAACCAAATTGAAGATAGGCATTGCCAAGACGGATTGGTCCCCAATCAAAAAGTACTTCAACATCAACCAGATTTAGAAGCATGGGACAAGACTAGAAGATTATTTCTAACACCGGTAGCGTTATAAGGGGCAAAATCAGTATTCAAATTGACTAACTCTCCCCACCCCCTCCTGCCTCACTTCTCAATCCCAGCACACACACACCCTTTTCATTTTGGGCCCTTTTTTTTCTCTTTCTCTTTTACACCCATCCCAAACCTTACTTCACCTTACCTACTCCCATCACCCTTTTTTTAAAACTATAAGATATGTTGATGATTGACACACTCTCGATGTATCCCCTCCCCTAATGAAAAAACTATCAATAAAAAGTATTTAAAACCTTATAAGATTGTTTAAATAAAGCTCATAAGAATCTCATAAAATTAATAATGTGTTTTATTGTATTAATAATAATTATTAATAGGCCAAAAGCTATCTGCTTATGCTGCCTTCAGTGAAAAAAAAAATAGGTTGTCATCTTTGGCAAAAGAAATGTTGATTGACATGTATCCATGCACTCATGCATTCTGTGTGAATATTATAATAATAAAACTGGCAGCACACTTAAGAAACGGACCAATCTTAACTGTTTTGGGGAGCATAGAAATGCATATATAAACCAAGAATTAGAAGTACAAATAATATATTGTCAAAGGCTTTTATGGCCGGAATCACTTGGTTGTTGTAGATTTTTCGGGCTGCATGGCCATGTTCTAGAAGCTTTCTCTCCTGATGTTTCACCTGCATCTATGGCAGGCATCCTCAGAGGTTGTGAGACCTCATATTCTCTGATTATGCCTGCCATAGATGCAGGCGAAACGTCAGGAGGGAATGCTTCTAAAACATGGCCATCCAGCCCAAAAAGCCTACAACAACCCACAAATAATATATTCCTTCATGTTTCATGGTGCACATATGCTAGTTGTATATACATTGGCCTGTTAATTTGCTGTTAACTAGTTGATGGCCCTATCTGAAAAAGTTTATGTGGGTTTATTCACGTGCCTTTAAGTCTCCTGTTCACTTATGGCCACCCCATGAATTTCATCTTGTTCATAAAGCCTGTTTGACGTTCCAGACTAATTTGTTACTTGTTCTGTTCATGCTGAGATTGTGTTAGTAAATGATCCATTGGAAGAAACACTAAGGATTATTAAGTTTTAATTCAAATAATTTTCAGTGGTTTTCAATTGCTCATAGTCTGTTTTGAATCCTATATGAGGAGGAATGTGAGATAAATAGGTTGTGTGATCATAAAACAGAACTAAAATATTTTCTTAGGCCCAATGAAACTTCTGATTTGAAAGATATTGGGATCAGCTGCTCTATTTTCATTTTATTGGCTCTCCTATGTGTTGTAAATGTAATGGTGCAAAGAAAAACAGATCCTCTGTTAAAAAAATAGTTTGCATATATAGTGTAGTTATGATAAAATGAAAACAGGATATTGAGAATTTTTATGTATTATAAGCCAAGGTTGAGACAAGAGGATGAATTAAGGTCTGTGTTGTTCTGATTGCTTCCTAATACTCTGATAAATTGCTGATTTCTAGGTAAGTGTCGTGGGCTTCGTACAGCCAGGAAGCTGCGCAGTCACCGTCGTGACCAGAAATGGCATGACAAACAATACAAGAAGGCCCATTTGGGTACTGCTCTGAAGGCCAACCCTTTTGGAGGAGCTTCCCATGCTAAGGGCATTGTCCTGGAAAAAGTGTAAGCTTCATCACCTTTGGGGGGTATCTTTTCTTTTGTACTAAAGACCTGATAGTGCAAAATGGAGGTTAAAATGCATCTAATTTTTATTTTTTGTTCTTTGGTTTATTCAAATTGCTTTCGTTCTATGCCATCTTGAGATCCTCGGCTGTAAGGCTGGATACAAGTATTTTAAGTAATAAAGTACTCCTACCATTTGTGTTGTAGATTGGGGCAACCTCTGGAAAAAAGCAGAAAGTGAAGTTGGGAGGGGGAAAGTCAGTGAATATTGCAGCTCTTCCCCTTTACACCTGTGGGAGTATTTTAGTAAAGCTCTGTTAAGAAAATGCTTCTACTTCTCGCAGAAATTAGATCCAACTCTATCTTGATTTGGGGTGTGTGTGCATGTATATAAAAACATTTACAAAATGCCTAGTTAGCTTATATACTGAATATGTTTTGGCATCCAAGTCAAAATGATTGCTATACTAACAGTATATTTGTTTGTCTCATTTTAGTGGTGTAGAAGCTAAGCAGCCAAATTCTGCCATCAGGAAGTGTGTCCGAGTCCAGCTCATCAAGAACGGCAAGAAGATAACAGCCTTTGTTCCTAATGATGGTTGTTTGAACTTCATTGAGGTACAAAATGTTTTTTTTTTTTTAGTTGACAGGACCATTATTCCAAAGAGGGAGCATGTACGGATTTGAATGGTGGACTTTGACTTCAGAAGACCAGGGTTGGAATCCCCCCCCCCCCCCAGTCATGGAAACCCACTGGATGATCTTGCACAAGTCATCCTCTCAACATCAGAAGAAAAGATAGTTTCAGCTTCCCTCTGAACAGATTTTTCCAAGAAAGGCCCATTAGGTTTGCCTGAAGGTCACCCTAAATTCGAAATGACATTTTTTATGGTGTCATAAGGGTCTTTACAAACTGCAAGTCGTTTCTGATGTGAGAGAATTGGCCATCTGCAGAGACGTTGCCCAGAGGATGCCCAGAAGTGTTACCAGATTGTGGGAGGCTTCTCTCATGTCCCCAGATGGGAAGCTGGAGCTGACAGACGGGAACTCCCTCCATCTTGCAGATTTGAACTGACCTTTTGGTCAACATTTCAGCCAGCACAATGGTTTAACCCATTGTGCCACTGCGGCTCCTGGAAATGATATGAAGGCACACAACACAATGCGGGGGGGGGGGGGGGGGGGGGGGGGGGGCTGGTAAAACATCTTGATTTATAATGCTTTTCAACTTTATTGTCATGAATAAAGGAGATCAGAGTACATAGATTAGATTGGGGTGCAGTGTAGGGGAGACGAGGATAGTTGATGCATATATCTATGGCTAAGCTACATTAGTTTTAAGTTGATAAATTCCTATATAGGACAAGATGTATGTTGTATGTTGTGTTTGCACTGTCTGTTTTTGATAAGGCCAAAATTGTTGCTGTAATGAATAAAGGAAAACAGCATGCAAATTAATGGGTAATTACAGGAGGTTCAACAGTACTATTTATCCAAACTGCAACCCCAATAATAATAAAAAAAATTCTAGAGTCCAGACACAACCATGACATGCATTGGAAAGAATATAGGAAAAACAGAAGCAGTATTTGAAAGCTGGTTTCCGGGAAGAGAGAATACATCATCCATGAGGGAATTTTATCTTAGGCTCTTGATGTTGCAAAACTCTTGAGAACCAATATTATCAATATGTGGAGTGACTGTCCTTTGCACAGATGAGCACACAGCTCATACGCTTAATGGTGCTTGAACAGGACTTCCCAGAATTTTGACTTTTCTCAAGGCGACTATCATTTGATGTGTTTTTTCTTATTTAGCTGTGCTGCTGCAAAGTTCATTTAAAAACTGGTTATACACTAGTTAGCACACACTTTGTGATCTTGAGGGAAGTGAAATTCAAGCGAATTTAGAATTCAGACTGCAAATGGACTCTTTACTTACTGGAAAATAATTGTTTGTCTTGCTTTAATTTCAGGAGAACGACGAGGTCCTGGTTGCTGGCTTCGGTCGAAAGGGTCATGCTGTTGGTGACATTCCTGGAGTTCGTTTCAAGGTTGTCAAAGTCGCAAATGTTTCCCTACTAGCCTTGTACAAAGGCAAAAAGGAGAGGCCCAGGTCATAAAACCACATTTTGTTATCAAAATGATCAATAAAGTTTTCTCTTAAGAAATGTGCTTATGTTTTTTTTATTGTAAGGCCTTTTTGGCTTTGTCATTATAACAACTGCAGTATTTACTATAATGAAGATGTAATAGTTATAATGAAAATAGTGGATTTGGCAGGATATCTTCTGGAAAATCCCAAATGTTATGAGGATAGCTTAGGACTGGTGGAAAACTGGAAAATCTGTCTGATTTCCAAAGCTTAATCTGTTCTTACAGAGCTAAATGTGAGGTGTGTGTTTAGGCAGAAAAAAAATGAGATACCCAAATGTAGGATGGGTCCATCAGAAAAGGATCTAAGGATTTTAGTGGATCACAAGCTAAACATAAATCAACATTGTGACATGGCAGCTAGAAAAGTCAAATACCCCACGTTTGTTCTAGGTTAAAGGCACCTTGCAGCAGTTATAAATAGTAGCTTACAACACTCAACACGAACAGTTACAAACACAAAATTTAAAAGAAAAGCCATTAAACTGGAAATCAGTTTTAACAAAGTAAAACAACTGAAAAATAGCATCAACAGAAGTATATCGAGATAAAGGGAAGTGGTAATGTCATTTGATTTTGCTTTAGTCAGGCCTGATCTGCAATACTGTGTCCAGTCCTGAGCCCTTCAGATCAAAGATAGGAAATGAATGTATTCGTTGGAGGGTAACCAGGATGGCCAAAGGTTTAGAAACAAAGAATGAACCAGATGTGTTTAATGTGGAGAAGACTTGAGAGGTGAGATGACACTTATTGATATATGCAGGAAAATCATGGAGAAGATGGGAGCATGGTTGCTTCCTGGTGACCTGGAGACTAGAACACAAACTAATGTTCAAATAAGAGTCCACCTAAACATTACGGACAAGTTGGTTAAAATTGGTTGCTTCAGGAAGTGGTGGACTTCTTTGGTGATGCTTGGATGGCTATCTTTGAGTGCATTAGCTCTGTATTCCTCCATGGCAGGGGGTTGGTCTAATGGCTTAGGAGTCTGTTTCAATTTTATTATTTATTATGTATTTATTTACTTTATTTATATACCGCTTTTCTCAGCCCTCAGGCGACTCAAAGCGGTGAACAACATCGATACAAAACATCACGAGACAAGTATAGGGCAATTAAAAACAATTGTAACATAAATCATTAACATCAGAATAACAATCATTAGTGCCTCAACAGTAAAATCAGAATCCAGTCTCATAATCCATTATTACATTCCTATGTTCAATTACACTGTTTAATCAAATGCCAGGTCTTCACTTTCCTCCAGAACACCAGCAGGGAGGGGGCCGATCTGATATCTGCAGGCAGGGCGTTCCACAGCCGAGGATTCTAAAAAGCATGAAGTGGACTTAGAGAGGAGAAGAAAAACTCTCTCCCACCCCCCAAGTAATACATTATGTACACTTTTGCCAGGCTGAAAGAAGCGTTACTGTGAAAGAAGAGCTGGGCAAGCCTGGTTCATGGCAGCAAATCATAACTCAAGGAATTCTGTGAAGGGAAAGGGCTACAGAAAATAAAGGTTACAGAAGGCAGATGAGGAAAGATGGCATAGAGGTGGGACAGTCAGGCAGTGGTAAATAAATGGGATCTTGCGGATCTGTGAAAGATGTAATAGTTTGGGGGTTAATATGTGATCTAAATGCCATTTGCTGATTTTTTTAACAACTGTAGCTGTTCTTGTTATGTAGAATCTGCACACAATTACTACAATGAACCCACAAAACAACACATGCACTGGTCCATACAGAAATCACCAAATTGCCAAATACCTGATGCTGGAAGAAATCTTGAGAGGGAAAGGAGGCAAAGTGAATCACAGGACCCTAAGGGTCTGGAGCTAAAGAGCTAGCCTTGAAAAGTGGCCTGTCACACTTGACTTTTCCAGGTCCAGGGTCTTTTCAAATTCCCTCCCAGAAAATGGAGGTTACATTCTATGGTTAAGCAGGATGGCATGTGCCGTATCTGATTTTGAAGTAGAAGACTGTTGTCTTTGTCTAGAAAACAACACATTTAGAATAGGGCTGCAGTGTTGCCTTTCTAACATGGTTTTGGAACAAAGATTAACTGCTGTATTGTCATCTTTTACCACCTATACTATACAGTGGTACATAAACAATTTTACTTTTTAGCTAGGCAGTCCAGTAATAAACATTTGCAAACAAGCCTTGGACAATACATTTGCAAACAAAATTAGGACTAAACACAGAATGACTTGTATCTGACAGCAGATCCAAATAGAGGGATATCATGCATTTCGGTAATAGACTTTTGCTTGCCTATTTGAAAATTGTATCTAATTTCAAATTGGGTGAAGGCTAATTAATGGATTGAAGACAGGCCATGAATATGCGTAATTCAATTGACAGGATATCTACTGAAATAAAGGGGATGATCTTTCCCAATTTGGGCTGTAGCAGCTGCACTGGAGAGTGAAAAGTATCCAGAATGGTATGGGAAATGATGCTCTGAACTCCATGCTGAAGAGGGAACCAGCAAAAATTGCCTCCCTTGCTTCCTCCTAGCCAGGAGGCCCTATTTAATCTTGAGCCCTTCCATTCATAGAATGCCAAGTTTGAACTCAACCCTGTATTTCCTGTTCAATTTGTCATTAACCTTCCCTTCAGAATGCAAGGGAAAAACAAATATTTAATATTTTAAAATGTATGGATGGTATTATGATAAAACAGAAGGAAACAATTCTGTTGAGGAATCTAAATGACTGGGAAGCCAAAATTCACCTCATATGAAAGGTCTATCACTCTTATAATCTCCAGAGTTAATTTATACCAAAGGGTATACTGTAAATCATTTAATACATTCAGACTCCCAAGTATGCACGCACATATTTTAGTCCACAAAGCAGCTAGTCTTACCATTTTGAATACTGAAGTAAGAAGGAATTACTACTGTAATTTGTTACTGTTTTCATCAGTTAAAGGGGCATCAGCTATTGGAAACTAGGACCCAAATGAAGATGAATGAAGAATGTGTGGCCTTCCAGATATCCCAGTAGCCTTAACCAGCAGAAATAATATTGAGGAAAGCTGGGAATGGCAGTTTAGGACCATCTGGAGGGCTGCATTTTCTTCACTCCCACTTAAATCTTTTTCAAAACATATCCCACTCTACAGGATCTCAGAGTTGCATATAATATAGTCAATTAAGACACTTTAAAATGTAGAGCAGTAAAAAATAATTTACCACCTAAATGGTATCAAACTGATAATATAGTTAAAATCATTTAGATGTATAGATTGGATTAGACCCCAAAGCTTTAATAAGAAGCCATGTTTGAATTTCACCCCGAAATGGAGCTAATGCTGGTGCCAATTTGGACTTTAGCAAGAGGACTTTTCACAACCAAGCTTTTCAAACTAGAGCTTTCTTCATCTTACAAAGATGCTGAAATAAAAGGCAACGACAAAGTGAGGACAACCATCTTAAATCAATTAAGCATATAAAGAACCCTGTAGCATCTTTTAGAATGAGAAAAGAAATTTTCTAGTACAGGCAGTCCGATTTACAAACAACTCATAGTTAAGAACTGAGGTGAGACACAGGAAGTGAGATAAATATTCCCCTCGGAAAGGAAATTCACTCCTGAAAGACATTATCACGGGAAAAAAGGTGTCTCCACTGAAGCTTTATCACCAATCCTTGTTTCCACAACTAGCCACATTTTTCCAAAACCCAATTATCACAGGGACAGAAAGTGAGGTGCACAGACAAAAAAACAAACATCACAGGGATGTTCACCCTTCCCTATGATATCCAAAGCCTTTATAAACCGCATATATAAATTGTGTGTGTGTGTGTGTGTGGAGTTACACTTTAAAAATGTACCTATTCCGACTTACATACAAATTCAACTTATGAGCAAACTTGCAGAACCTCTCTTGTTTATATCTTGTGTTTATATCTGCATAAGCTTTTGTATACTCCGGTCGACTTCATCAGGTGCTGATGAAATGAAGTGAAGCCATTCACAAAGGCTTGTGCTGGAAATTTTGGACAGAATTCTGTATCTTCCCTTTAGTGACGTAACTGCCTTGGTCATATAGCTACGTAGCATCTCCAGCCTAATCTCCCAAATATACTTTATAGGGCACCAATGTCCAGAGAAAGGGTGGACTGTTTCCTGGAGGTTGAGGCCCAGATGGATAACATTTCAACCCCTCTCCTTCCAGCTATCAAGGTTACAACAAAAATGTTTGGCATTAGTCCTCTTTCTAATTGTAACAATTAGGCATTGAATTATTGCCAATTGTAAGCCGCCCTAAGTCCCCCCAGGTGTTGAGAAGGGCGGGGTAAAAATGTTCAAAATAAATAAATAATAAATAAATAGGCTTGCTGGTGGGGGCTTTAATTTCTGCATCCAAAGATAAAACTAGATGCCAATATTGACTCCCTTGGCTGCAGACAATAAAGCCCCTGAGTAAGTAGGTGCAAACTTTTCTTCCAAGCCCTCTAGTTTATTATTTCTGAATAGCTAAATTCACAATTCTTCAAGTCAGAAAAATACAGGGATTGCATTATTCTATTTTTATTATTTCTTCCCATATTCTGATAATGTTCTTGCTTTTTCTACTTAATTTTTTAAAATGAAATTCATGATGGACCCTAGGGAGCTGAAGAACAGTACACTAGTTTTTTGAAATGAGCTTTGGAAGGAAACATTTGCATCTGTAGTAAGTGTTCCTATATTGATATGTAGATCTATCAATTGTTCAAGAGCTCGGATGTTGATTCAGTACCATGTAAATATGCAGCAGAAAGGACTGACTAAAGCAAATAAGAGAGTCTGGATTTTAGTACCTGTATTAAGCTGTGGTTTACAAAGCAATATTTACATAAGGGATTTTCTTTATGGATTTTTCTCATGCTGAAAAAATGTGTATCATAATAACACTTGAGATTATTAAATACCATATAGTTGTTTTTCCTGTTTTAATATCTAGCACATGTATATATATATATAAGGTAATCAAGTATACAAATTAAGTAGTTTTTGAAACGG